GTGCGGGACTATGAGTGAGTGCGTTATAGTGCATGCAAAACATCCGAAAAAAAACAGATTTAATTTCCTATGTGTAACTATCGCGAAAACCTCGAAAAACTCAATAAGTTATAGTGACAAAATATACGAGAGAAATAAAGACAACAATTTTTAAATTATGTGTGTGTTGTGAGTGATGTGTGTGTGATTTATATTATGTTTGTGTGTGCATAAATTAACACGTTACAAGTGCAACCGGCAATAGCAACCAAAAAAGCATGAGAAACCATTTAGAAACTCGTCTACATAATCGAACCTTTGCTTAATACGAGTAAATTTTTACACGTTCTATTGTTTATGTTTATCTTAGTACTTAACGTGAGGGTCTCTTTGACCAAACTTGGGGAATGTTTGAGCTTAGTACATGCGAGCGGTTGTTGTCCGTCTAACTAATTTGCTATTCACTGTACATCGGTGCGTTCACAGGAGACTGCTGAGTTCCTGGTAACAAAGGGGACGCGTAACCTCATCAACTAATTTTCGGTAACGAACAGAGGCTCTAAAACAACAACAGGAGTTGTTACCCCTATATTGCTGTTTGTACGTGATCAAGTTTTAACAAATTGTTTTCTATATTTGTTCCGTTTGTGGAGGTTACGTCAAAGCCTTGCCTGGAGAGGTAGTAAATTGTTTACAGTGATGGTGTAATATTTAAAACATAAATTGACCCAGTAGCCCAGCGGTTTGCACTGCGGGTGCTGGATGAGGAGGTACCAGACTCGATTCCCGTTAGAATCAATTTTGGAAATGAACTTTTGTAAATTGGTTCTTGTTTAGGTGTTCTTGGTAGTGCCTCGGAATGAATTCCGTTGCTACTCATAGTACAGAGAATTTCCTAGTTTGAGACTAGGTAATCGGTGTGGTGTTGTCACAATATTAATAATATAGTCCGCCACACTGAGCCAATGCGGGTTGAGGACTTGACTCGTTTTGCGATGTTATGATTCTTCTTCGACGTTATTTTCACGATATTTTCCTTCACCAATAAGCTCATGGTAAATTTCAAACTAAATTTCGCACATAAATTCCGAAAAACTCAGAGGCCTGAGTCCGGATTCCAACCCATGGCCTCTGTTTGAGAAGCGGTAGATTAAACCATTAGGATACCACGTTGGTCGTGGCAGTCCTAGTGGTTTAATCTATTATTGAAATTGAGGCTCCAGCCACAATTGTATTAATATAAATTATTAATACAATATTAGACGTCATTCGGCTAAAATGATGACGATGATTGATAAATATATTAATATTAATAATATTCTTTAAATAAGTAATTAATATACATAATTGGTGACTGTGACGTCGATTCGGTCAAACGTCAACCAAGCGTAAGAGCCTATACATACATTTTGTTTTTTAAATGAAGCAACTGCATGGTATTCTAAGTGTAAACTCAGTAGAGTATATGTTCTTCTTGCTGGCAGCGCGATGTTTTGTTTGTTTTGATGTTGAATCGATTCACTACTGCGCGTCTGCGACGCTATTATACGCGCAGATGACGCGAGTTTACGGCGCCGTAAAAAATACGCCGTGTGTATAGGCTCTAATTTGAGCATACCAGTCTTCAATTATGAATCAGAAATGGGCTTAAAATTTTATTTCGGTAACAACTTATCAAATTATGACATCTTCTTTAAAATTTGCAAATGCGTGCCGTCTAAAATTGTCGAGTAGATTATATAGGTCTCGACTCATCTAATGGCTCAAAACTTAACCAAAAACTTTTGTTACATTTTCACTGACAAACAAAAGTCAGGTGCCTTGAAATAATAAGTTTAGTATGCATAAACCTTAATCGACGCTTCTATCGTAATTATGTAGGTAATTTAATTTTCCTTTCATCGGCATTACCCAAAGTAATAAATAACAACGCTCGCATCGGCTGTGTCACCGGAAATTTCTCGAAAATTTTGTATTAAGTAATAATATATTTTAAGTTATAAATAAAAGAGAGGTCGCATGAAATAATTTAGTCGACTTACCTACTTATTTGGTAGATGTATTGATCCCTAATCTATAATTTATAATTTCGTTTAGAAATAGAAACCAATTTATTTTTACGCCACATTATAAAAAAAACAAAATATATTATAACAAAATATAAACAAAAATAACACAAAAAACAGCGTGGCAAACGTTTAAACAACATTTTTTAACTATATAACTTAATGCTATGCTGTCATGTGTGGCGTATGCAAAAGTATCTCATTCAGCTAAAACCACAGCCAAGAATGGGCTGTGATCCTGGTTTTCAATGAACCCTAGCCGTGTAAGTAAAGGACGTGTGCGTCGCGAAGTGAAATAAAATAAACTTCGTAAATGCTTACGTCTTATTTCTATATGGTGTTTCTGCAGTGTGTACTTTTATGTCGAATAAACACTTACATAATCCTTCAATATATACATACACACACAGTTATAGTTAAGTGTAATTTCCTAATTTATTAACAAAACATAACCTGTTTTGTATTAATACCCTGTTCCCTGTAATACCTGTTCTGTATATACAATTTTTCACACACTTATAGCCCCACTAGGGAAACCCTGTGTCGCGGGTGGACACACATAACAACCACAAACTACGCCCAAACTCACGAGAGAAATAAATGTAAGCCGTACATATATTTATAATTTAACAATTTAATTTAATTTAACATTTAATTTAAAATTTAATTTAACATTATTGTAATTCTATGGATTTGTATGTCTGAAATAAATGATTATTATTATTATTATTATTATTATTATTATTTCTCCCGGTCCGGGAATCAAACCCGGTGCCACCCGGTAGCCGGTTGCATTTGTATTGAATAAACTTTATATATATATATATATAGTTTGGGAATTTGATTGCTGCGTGGGCTTCAAGGATACCGTTTTTCCTCTAATTACTGGAATGACATTTAGAAGAAAAATAATATCCCGTATGATTGTACCATAAATAACGAACAACATGAGACACACGGAAGAAAAAACAATGGAAGTGCCACAAGCCTCGATTACTATCGGAACCGATTTCGCCAAAATGCACACCAACAAAATGCTAAACACTATGAAATATTGGTAATGATTGATCATAGTTTCTAATTTACAAAGATGTAACAAATTCTGGATAGTTAATATAATTTAAACATTGCTGTCGTACATATCGTTGAAAGCTCAATATCTGTATTGCAACTTATGACGTTTTGATTTTATATAGAAATTTTATTCAATATGCTGCCATCTTGTGTTCAGCAGCTGGACTGCGACGAACGATTAACATCTGAACGAATAGATATCAAATAAGAAACCGACCTCAAAAGTCGTTTATACCCTATTTTGCCACCCTTAGGTGGAATACTTTGTTCAAATTTAAATGGGACTACATGTGAGGTACCCTCTTTCAACAAAAAAATAATCATCAAAATCGGTTCACAAATGCGAAAGAGTTATCGCGTAACATACATACAAAAAAAATATAGTCCAATTGAGAACCTCTTCCTTTTTTGAAGTCGGTTAAAAATTCAGAAGTTATAAAAGTAGGAGTTACCGATGACTTGATTTTTTTTATTTTATGAAGTTACGAGACGAACAAGTCGTGTGCCTGATAATAAATTACACGCCTGTCCGTAATAGTCCAAAATACTGCTACGGGTAATATTTTTAGTGTAGCTATCATTTTTGCACTCCAAAGCAGCACCATTTTTCTCCGATTTTAGAGAATTTGCGCGAAAGAATAACATAATCATTCCATACAAAGCAAAAATAGCTCAAGTAGATCTTTCGAGACCTATAGTTGGCACGCGTCTGACGCTAACTAACCACTTCTACTGTATTTATTGTTCTGTGATCAGATACGTATTTCTAATATACATAGTGTAGCGACGCTACGTTACTAATTGAACCATTTTGTATTTTGAAGGGAGAAATTTTCAAAGCAAATACTTTTTAGGTTTCGGTCCCGGAGTGAATTCCGTTGCTGTGGAACCCATGGTACAGGGAATTCCCTGGTTTGAGAAAAGGCAATTGGTGTGATTGTCTGGCATATTATTATATTATTGTTATTAATTAGTCAATTTAACGAACCATATCAATGATATTTATTTTTTAAACATTTTACTCCGCATTATATAGATACCCTTTAAGGTGCACAGACAAAATATAAAAAAGCAGAGATCACTTATTCTGTACTCAACATATGTATATTTTTGTTAAATATTTATATCTTAAATTCATAAACGCGCTATGATATATGTTATCTATATTCCTTAGGCAGAGGAAGATAGTTTGTATTCTCAAATAGAAACAAAAGTATTGGCAAAACCTAACGTAAAAATCAATAGTAACAAAAAACTCGTGTTCAAAAAAGAGCACCTGACTTTAGCCATATTAAATTTATAATGAGGTCATATATCTAAAATGATCGCGGAGTTATTACAAATTTTACAGGGTTGTTATTGTAATTTTTTAATTTATTGAATGTCACGATTTTGCTGATGTGATTGATGATGCTGAATGAAGACATAGATTTCTCGCAGATAGCGCTACGGCAAAAAGTCGTTAAAAATCATACTTAAAAACCATAAAATTAAAGATATGCAACAAGCACATAAAAAAGTCCTAAGGTTCGCTAGTTCATTCCGTGTCTTAGTTGGCATAGCGTCTAGCGCGGGTTGCTGGAAGATGTTGGTTCGAATCCAGCCAGATCGAAGGAATTTTTTCTTAGTGTTCGATCTTTGTATTAATAATTAGAACAAACTAGGGTTGTTCTTAATTATAAATTATTCAGAAATAGCGATTCATATAAGTGTATCAATATGGATGGTACAGACGGCAGCACATGAATCCGTCAATGTGTAGCAACAATGACGGATCTTGTTCCGTTGCACTGGCAATATGCGAACAAAAGCTTGATGTGCTATTGACTGCACATACTTACTTGAAAAGCGCGTGCAAAACAACAAAGCAATCACACTTACCGAACAATACGAAGATACAGCTCAGCTCCACCGCCCACATCATGACGAATGTTTTCTCACATGTTCACTACACTGCGTCCAAGTTCACACTGCACTCACAGTCCTTCATACTTTATTTACAAATGATATTTTGTCCATCTCATGTCTTGTGTGGTTGATTTAAGATCTGCAGTTCTGTAACGAAAGATAAATTGGAATAAGGGCATTATTATTAATTGTACTAAGCAGGATTGTCAGCATCAGAAGTCGTTTAATATGTTTTCATAATATATACATATATATCATAACACTTATGCTTAGCACTATCATTACAAATCTCTCTTGCTTCACTTACATTCATCAATATTTTCATACATGCCCTCTTATTCTTCTCACTACACACTCCAGCCTTTTTAAGAACACTCTCAATTTCATCAGAGAATGTTCTTTGATCAAAATGCTAAGTGGCGATCGATAGTCTCTGCTTACCAAAATGAGAATCTAAGGGCGTGAGTATATAAATACTTAAGCATAGTTTTTGTTAATTTACTGTTCTGCTTTCAAAAAGTAGTAGTAGAGTGAAATTCAAATTTTGAAGGGTAAAGTTGCTGGTAAGATTACAGTTACATGAAATTTGTCAACTTATAACTTAGGGTAATGGGCGCAGTGGCAGTGGCCCTAACAACTTGGCGATTTATAGTTCTGAGTGTCACTACAACTGCTATGGACGACATCTCGCTTACCACCAGGTCCACTTGGTATCATAAAAACTAAAAAAAAATCAATTCGGAACAATTAAAAAAAATTAAGTCGAAAATACCCAGAATTAAGAAGAGCGTGTGGACATTGGTTGAATGGTACCGCGAAAGAGGAATTATTAATAGTTTTACACCATTAAGAGTAGTACAGTAGTATAATAGTACATTTATTTATGAATATGAAATTTACGCAGAGGAGATTTTTTCAGAAGCCCTTGAAGACGCAACCGACGGGATTGTTGTGAACGGGCGTCGCATCAATAACATCCCGTATGCCGATGACATGATTCTCCTTTCCAGCTCGATGGAAGATCTACAGCAACTGTTCAATCGTGTAAAAGGAAAAGCGTACAGAAAGGTCTGAATATTAACATCAAAAAGACTAAGTACATGATTCCGCTTGATGTCCTCGACGCTAGGAATCAACCGCTTGACAGGATCCGTTCATTTAAATACCTTGACTATATGGTAAACGACCAGGAAGACCACAGCATAGAAGTTAGATGTCGCATAGGGCAAAACAGGAGTGCTTTTATTAAAGTGAGCCACCTCCTTTGGAATCGTAGTTTCAAGCTATCGACAAAATACCGTTTAGTGCGGTGTTAGATATTTTCAAATCTTTTGTACGGAGTGTGTTGTGTTCTTGTGTTCAAAAAACAACATTATCTCAATGAATTCGTATCAATGTTAACAATTTTGATCTTTATCGGCATCCTCTAGAGGCCTACAAAAGTCTACGGTAGAGCTAAATTGTACTTTAATTATTTATATCCCTATAAAAACCCTGAAAACACGTAACTGTGCAAACATAAAAGTAGCGTACAAAACATTTAAAGTCGTCAATAAAAGAGAAACTAAACAAAATTTTAATTTCAATACAAATAGTATTTTCATCTCTCTAAATTAGGTATTTCTAGTTTTAAAGATCGAAAAAGCGAAGGGGATAAAGGTCACGAACGGTGCTAATTCTTACAAAATATGTACGTAAAAAAGTCATGAAAACCAAAAAAACAAAGATCTGTAACAAACGCATTGAGCAATTCGTGAGGTCAGTTGATAGAGTGGTTGCTCTAAATTGACAAAGCAGAGAGCGAAAGAGAAACAAAGAAATTTTTCTTTGTGTTCGATTTTTATTTTAATAATTATATAAACGTATTTTAGCTTTTTCCGTGTTAATATTTACAGTCATTTTGAAATCATAAACACACACAAAAATAAATACAGGCCCAATTACGAGAATGTATTGCCATAAAAAGGGCTAGTTTTCGCATAGTGTGACAATATAAAATGATCATTTGAGAGGATATGAAATTACTGCGACCGTGATTTTATTATCAATAACAATTTTACGACTTTCCTCAGGTGATATATGAATTGCCCGCAGTGGGTCAACATGCCGAGTAATGGCCTAAAATGTCCTTCTAAAGGACACCTTCGTATAATTCCTTGGCAATAAACAATAACAAATTTATTGATAAAACAAACAATTTTGTTTCAATGTACATAACAAACAAAGTCGGGTACAATTTCCTTTTGTCCCAAAATGATCTGAAAATTGCTACGTTAAAATAACCTTTTGAAAAGAAAATGCTCGAGTAACAAACAATATGTAAACCATACTTTTCCAATCTCAATTTTTTTTACCATAACCAGCACCTTACCCTTCAAAACCGAAACGCAGTAATGCTCACATTACTGCTTAGTGACAGAAATAGGCCACCTTGCCTATAAATAAGGTGGCAGTACTTCCCTGGACGAACTCTTTCACAAGGAGCTCTACAGCTACTAAAAATAATGCATCAAGTTATTTATTTTTGTAAATATGACATTAATGCAAGCAGAAAGAGAACACGTTGAAAGACCTTGAATTTTTCTATCTCTTCTATCTCTTACGTGTGGCGCACTATAAGTTTCCGGAATGAATAAGAAAAAATACTATAAATGGTTCGAAATGAATTTATTGTTTCTCAAAATATTCTCCGTTAGCGTAATGCACTTTTTCATACGAATGAACCAATTTTGAAAACATTTATGCCACTCGTCCGTGACAATCTTTGAAACATATTTTTCATACTCTTCGACAGCCTCTTCAGGTGATGAAAATCGTTGACCGCGTAACTGATTCTTAACTTTTGTGTGATATGCGGTGTTGTAACTGGCATTGTCGTAGTGAAGATGATACGGTGTTTACTGTTATTTTTAAGGAGTTTGTCAATAACTTCCGGCAAATAAATGGTCGTGTACCAATCGCTATTCACGGTACAACGATTCTCCAAAGCAACGGTAGCCACGTGTCCAGTTTTATTAAAAAAAGAAGCAATCTTTCGCATAGAGGCACTTTGCACGCGCGGCACAAGATTTTACAGCCAAAGAGTTCGATTTTCAAATGTTGTAATTTCTTTTTAAATATTGTTTATATAAGTGGCCAGTTCCGGAAACTTATAGTGGCGCCCTATGTATCGACAACCAGCTATACACTTATTTTGTGAATACGTACACAGTAAAATAAGAGGGTGTAATATACTATGATACGTATTTATTATTTCATTTATTTTATATAAGCGCTTTTAATCAGAAAAAACGTTCAATTTCCAATGCGTTTACTGTATTTCATATTTTGTATATGAAGACCTTATGTAAAAATTCGTTTTATTTTCATATTTTTTATTTTCTTATTTGTATTTTATAAATTTTGAATCATCCTCCTGGATGTACTGCTCTCGCTACACTCTTTAGCATCCACACAATATCTCAGAAAACAGATTACGTTTCAGCATTACCTGAGCCCCCTTTCATCTTATCTTTATGTTAATCATTATTGTTATGACTACGTAAAGTTTCTTGAAAATGCTGTGAAAGTAATAAGTACACATAGAAAATAAGGAAGCATTATATAAATAATGTTTCCTTATTTTCCGTGCTATTTCGTAGTATAAAATAATTACTTTAAGTTAATTTGAAAGTGTTTTTGGCGTGGTTTACTTAAATCAATAGAAGTTATATTGTCCTGAAAAATTTGTTAATTAGTACATACAAAGTTGAGCTGTTTTGTACGAAAAATTACGAGATTTTGAGCTCATGTAATTTTGTAACTATGTAATATATACCGCGATGCTCGACGTTAATTTCTAAATTATATTTATTGAATGCCCTTTTGTTTTATTATTTAATATCACAAATAGTACCAAATTTCGTTTGTCTGGAGCTCCTATGATGTCCTCTTCCGAACAAAAGCAAAATAATGACGACAATAACGACTTCGACAGTCACGATGTAGTAGACCCGTTTTGACAGCTAGGAGAGACGATGGAATCTAACTTTGAGTGAAATCAACGAGAATAATTATGCACTTACTGCGCTTGTATTTGCGTTTTAAAATAGACACTAATTTTATTGGCGCATTGTGGAATACTACAGAACACATTTCAAGTATTACTTTCCATATCAAAAAGAAAATGCATTATTGAATTACCTAAAAACTTTTTTTTATACAATAATGATGTAAACCAGTTGATGATGAACCAATTGGTCTCTAAATTTCGCCGACTTAATTAGATTGCATGTAAAATACTAAGTTATTTCTTTTTTTGCAAATTTGAATTAGCTACACTTAATTCGACCTACACGTAGGGGCCCATTCCTGTGTACCTAGCTCAGTCTTTCGCCGTCTTGGAGGGTGAGTTTGTGCTCGTTTTTGGTATCTTTTTTAGTGAATAGGCTTTGTTTTCAACTGTTTCTATTTGCTATCACATTGACCTTAATACTTATTAATTCACTGAATTTATGTTCAAATAAATGTTAATTGTTCTATCTATAACTTTAAACCAATGAACCTAAAAATAATCTAAGCGATCACAGAATCATAAAATTTTGAATCGATTTATCGTGTAAGCTGGTCGATATATTTGGTTCATATCCCTTGTTACGTTCCTATGACAGGTGTCAAAACGAGCCTATTCGTTGTGACAACTATAGTTGTTTTAATTTTTATTATAAAGAAAATGTACCAATATTATTTATTGTATTAAAAATGCAGTTGAAATATTCGTACAGAAATATTTGTAATACACCATTTTATTGTATTTATTTCAGAACGTTTGCTGTAGGATTGTTCGACGACTGACTCTGAAATTCAGGTAGTAAGCGCATCAAAAATATCACATAGCTAAATCGAACATTTAAAAGAATCGGTCTGCGAGTTTAATTAGCATCTATAAGTACTAGAAAATACAGAGTTGCACATGGCCTCTATGGCACCTACAACCACGGCAAATTATTGACTTGACAATAGTGTCAAATTTGACTATGAGACAGGATTCGATACCAAAATGCTTTAAATATTAAATATTTTTAATTTTAAATATTACTGTCTTTCCTATCCACCTATATAAAGATCAGTAAGCATAAGCAATAATATAATGGGTAAAAATTGTATGC